TGCGGTCTGCTAAGCGAGCGGCAGTAGGGAGTGTGTAGTGAGGAGGGCGAAGGCAAGTTAGGCGACCCAGGTGGAGAGGGGATCGCCAGGAAGGCTACTATGTGGTGATTATTGGGTGTTCGAAGTGTGATGGGAACTATCCGATGTGTGATTGATGCTGAGGTGGAACGGTGGTGCAATGCTGGCTGTGCCGAAGCAACGATTGCGTTGCACCTAACCTTATCTAACCTCTTTGACACTTCTCACCGTGAGGATGTGTGTTCTGTCTTGAGAGTCCTCTCATGTGAGGAGACGAGTGCGAGAGTCGTCAGTGTTCACGGGGAGCATCTGGAAGGAGAGGGCGGTGCTATATGAAGGGCCCTGGACGAAGCACTGGGTCACGGTCACCATGCCAACCCACCGGGAGTAGAGCACAAATGCTTTGCTGCTTTGTCCTTTGTCTGCTCACTGCGCTATAGAGGGGTTCTGAGGGGAGACCAGCCCGATGGGAAAGACGAGACCGGACGTCTATAAATAAATACCGGCAAGAGACCTTCCATTGGTTGTGATCGTCGTCCTGTTTGCGACGCTAAACAATTCCTGAGGACTTCGGGGGCTGCCCATAAAAAAACGCCTCCTGATCAGCCAATCGGTCGGTGTAAGGCTCGCTGCACGCGAGGATAAATAGTGTGCAGGGCTGGCCAGCTTAGCGGGACTCGGGGCGCAGGGGTGGGCCGTGTGCACACCTTTGGACACACACGCTGTCAAGATTGCTTAGGGACACTGCCGACAAGAGATATTCAGGAAGAACTGAGGGAGGGGTAGATTCCAGGTGATAAGTTCGGGTAAGATTCCATTCTGCAAACAGACCCAACAAATGGTTCTATTTTTATTTTGATTAGTACAGCCATTAACATCTGACAGACAACATAGTTAGAACTGTTTTCTGTTCGTTGTGCTTTCTGTTTGCGAACTAGTTAAAGTCAAAGTAGTTTCGCTTGTAGGAATCTGAACTTACTTGTTGGACCCAAATGTATATCCTCTGATTTAGCCACCGATTAATTAATTAATTATTTTAAATCGGTTTGTGCACTACGTCGTGGTAGGCATCAAAGAGTGACCTAGTGCAGAGCGTGTATAGTTTTGTAGCTTATGAGCGATAGGGATGCCAGTAGTGAGGACGACAGGATCTTGCGATCGGCTAGACGCCCAATAGCCCACTTGGCATTAGGACCAGAGGGCGACAGATACTTGTTCCGCGAGCAGAGTGAGAGCCAGCAGCAGCAGAGAAGGGCTAGGGCCGCAGAGGCAAGTGGGGCATTCGCAAGTGAGACCGCTGCTTCAGCAGCCATGGCAGCTGCTGCGCAGCAGAGCTCTCAGGCTAGTGGTTTTGTAGGGTCAACGGTCGCACAAACCCTGAGTCAGTCCACTGGCGTCATGGCAAGCCAGCCCATAGTGTTGACGCCCGATGAGATCACCATACAGCAGGCAGCACTGCAAGAAGCGCAACTACAGAAGGCTCTACGGAGAGATAAAGGCAGAGAAAGAGAGAATGATTAGAAGAAGAGCCAGGATGCAGCGGAGACAAGCGGACGTCAGTGAGTTAGAGGGCATGGATCTGACGCACATGGATGCCGATGTGAGGACCCTACGGTCCGTCCTGCTAGATGTAGTTGAAATGCAGGACCACCAGACGAGTCTGTTGCAAGACATCCAGCAGAGTCTGGCCTTGTTGGTCGGGCGAGCGCAGGCAGCTCCATCACCGTCCGGGCCTGGTGCCTGGCCTGTTGTACATCCTTCTTTTGTCCCACCGGTGACTGGGGTATCCCCATATGTCTCCCCAGCATCGGTCCAAGCCACTTCCCTAGGTATGTCGTTAACAGGAGGGTTCTCAATAGGTCCTAGTGTACAGGTTCCTATACGGACAGTGTACTCCCAACCTCCGTCACAGGTTGCCGTAACAGGGCAGCCTGCTGTCTCGCAGCCTGCACAGCCGCAGGGTACATAGCCCCAGCAGCAGCTAGCGCAGCAGCCTGCACCTTAGGGTCCACAACCCAGAATGGTGCAGGTACCGGGACAAAGTCAGTGGGTTCCAAAGACGGCCATCGCTGCCCCTAAACCCTTTATAGGGGACAAGAGGGGCGAAGACCTCGACACATGGTTGAGGTCAGTGCCAGTCTACATCAAGTGTAAACTTACCTTGCCACACGAGGAAGTGCTTGTGGTTGCCTCCTATCTAGAGGGGAGTGCAGCAAGATGGTTGAGTGGTTTAGTGCAACTTCAGGGATACGGTCATGACTTTCGCGCTTGGGCGGTCAACCAGAAACTGGATTACTTCCTTAAGCTGGTGGAAGACAAGTGGCATGATCCTCAGGAGGCTTAAAAGGTCACTGATGCGATCCTGACTCTGAACCATAGACAGTTCAAGTCAGTAAGAGAGGCCACAGACGCAGTAGAGCGTTCGATTTGTGTCCCTGGGGTGCACTATGACCTCCAGGTCCTACTCACCTCCTACCTGAGATACTTTCCTATGCCTCTCATGAATCAGTTGGCAGGTGAGGCCAACATCAACATGCACAACTTCCCCTCGTTTAGCAAGAAGGCCCTAGACTTGAAGTCAAAGATAGGGCATGGACAGACACCCACGGCGGATGGTAGGAAAAAGTCACTGCCTCCCAACTGGAAGGCGAAGGGGCGCATTATGTTCATCGACAACGATGGTTCTACCATCGAGTTGGATGACGACTTCCAGGCGGGAGTGGGTTCATTGGCAAGTAGCGTAGAGGCTTCAGGGGGTGGAGTAGTCGCTGCCTCAGTTCAAAAAGGTAAGGTGACCGGTAGACGCCGTGGAGGTTCCCAGTCTAGGAGTCAAGTTGACCCCAATGCTCCTCCATGGGAGAAAGCGGGTCTAACAGAGGACGTGTGGAGAGACCGGTACACCTGGCAGGCTTGTATCCGGTGTGGCCGATATGGCCACAATCAAGTCAAGTGCCGTAATAAAAAGGTGACCGAAAAGATCCCGCCTACGATGGGGCAGGCGTTGGGATCCTCCGCTCCGGTTGGTAGCAACGTGGGCAGCAGTTCTGACACTGCTCCGGGAAACGCGTCGGGCCAGTAGGAATAGTAATTGTTCCTGCTAAGGTCGAGGTGGTGGACACGCCCTCACCATCTCGAAAGATGGCCCAAGCTACTGACTCCGTTGTCGTCCCGCAAACACATTCAGACCCATCGAGCCTCTGTTCGATGAATGTGTTTGAGTCCTTAGAGGAGCTAGAGGAGGAGTGGTCCAAATCAGACCCGCTAGCTTCTTGGACGGCATTGGCTAAAGCCCCTAGGAGTGAGATGTTCGTCGGCGAGGTAGTCATCGGCGGTCGTACGGTCGGGGCCTATTATGACACTTGCTCGACTTGGAACTTCATTAGTCGCGCATGCGTTGAGAGGCTGCGCTTACAGGGGCAAGTGCAGCGCCTGAGTCGACCTGTGGAGTCGACCTGTGCCAACAAACAGCGCATGGTAGTCCACGACTACCTTCAAGACGTTGAGTGTTGTTTCCCGTACGAAGGACGGGAACTAAGACATCGTGTCTCGTTCCTAGTCAGCGATGATCTCCCTATGGATGTCTTGTTGGTATGTAGTATCTTCGGTTGCACAGCCCCAGTTTGACTAGGACCGAAAAGTGGTCAAGCACATTTTGCCAGGGGGGGGGACCGCCAGATTACGTAAGTTTAAGGCTAGTAGTCTGATTGAGTCCTACGGATGCATGTGTGCGGCCACGTTCTATAACCATTATAAAGAAAATCCAGAGGAGGGTATGTATCTAGTTTATGTCTCTGCAGCAGGCGAGCCGGTGAAACTGCCGTCGGAGATAGAGGGAGTAGTTGCTAAATACCCTGATCTATTTGAAGAGCCGAAAGGGTTGTTGAGAGGGAGGTCGTCCATGCGATAGAGATTATCCCAGGATCTACTATTCCAAAGGGTAGGATCTATCATATGTCTCCAGGCGAGCTTGATGAGCTCCGCCTGCAACTCAAGGAACTCGTAGAGAAGGGTTGGATCCGGCCGAGTGTCTCCCCTTACGGATCTCCAGTCTTATTTGTGCCGAAGAAGGGGGGAACTTTGAGGATGTGCATTGACTATAGGGGCCTCAATGTCATCACTGTCAAGAATCGAGAGCCCCTACCGCGCATCGACGACTTGCTAGATAGAGTGCAAGGGTGTCGGTACTTCAGTAAGATAGATCTGAAGTCCGGGTACCATCAGATTGCAATACGGCCCGAGGATCAACACAAAATCGCTTTTCATACCAGTTACGGTTTGTACGAGTTTGTGGTGATGCCTTTCGGCCTTTGCAATGCTCTTGGCACTTTTCAGCACGCTATGAATCGGATCTTTCATGACTACTTGGACAAGTTCGTCATCGTGTACCTCGATGACATACTTATTTTTAGTAGGACTGTTGAGGAGCATGTTGCGCACTTGAACAAAGTCCTCAGTCTCCTTCGACAGCACAAATTCAAGATCAATGGGGAGAAATGCGAGTTTGGTCGCACCCGGATCTTGTACTTGGGTCATGAGATTTCCGCGGAGGGTTTGAAGCCCGATGACACGAAGGTGGCCAACATTCGTGACTGGCCGCGTCCTCAGTCTGTGATTGAGATGAGATCCTTCTTAGGGATGACTGGCTACTACCGCAATTTTGTCAAGAACTATAGCATAGTGGCCGCCCCTTTGACGGATTTGACACGCCTTGACACCCCATGGGAGTGGACAGACAGGTGTGAGGCTGCTTTCAGACTTTTGAAACATGCCCTCACTCACCATGAGGTCTTGAAACTGCTCGATCCTGATAAGATGTTCATAGTAACCACGGATGCCAGCCAGTATGGCATTGGTGTCGTACTTGCGCAGCAGGAGGGGCCAAAGTTGAGGCCAATCGAGTACATGTCCAAAAACATGCCGTTTCTGAAGTTGGCTAAGTCCACCTATGAGAAGGAGCTCTATGCGGTTTATAAGGCACTGACCCATTGGAGACGTTACCTCCTTGGGAGGTTCTTCATCGCCAAGACTGGCCATCAGACCTTGAAATGGATGAGAACCCAGTCGGTGCTCTCCGATGCATTGAAGCGCTGGATCGAAGTCATGACTTCGAACCGCAGTATCTGAAGGGGGAGCACAACAAAGTTGTTGATGCCTTGTCGCGTAGGCCTGATTTCTCTGGTGCTCTGATTACTGAGTTTGGGCTCGCGGACGATGTCACTCGCTCTTTGGTGGAAGCCTATCACGAGGACCAGTTTATGTCCGAGATCATATGCAGACTCGAGGCGAAGGACAAGGTGACTTCTGCCGAGTTTGAGTTGGTCAATGGTCTGCTGTTCCTTGAGAAGGAAGGGAATAAATGTTTGTGTGTGTCAGATAGAGAGTCTTTGCATAGTTTATTTTTAGGCGAGTGTCATGATGCCACCAGACATTTTGGCTACAAAAAGACCGCAACCAATCTGCTGCAGCGGTTCTGGTGGCCCACGATGATGAGAGACGCCTGTACGTGGAAACTTGTCAGGTCTGTCAGAGGGACAAGCCATGTACACAGGCTCCTCTTGGGCTTCTGAAGCCCCTTCCGATTCCGGAAAGGCCTGGTGAGAGCCTGTCCATGGACTTCATGGATACGATGGTCACCAGCAAGAGTGGAATGCGCTATGTCTACGTCATTGTGGATAGATTTAGTAAGTACGCTAGATTGGTCGCGATGCCTGCAACAGCTAAGACTGAGTAGGTAATTGAGTTGTTCAAAGAGAACTGGGTTAGAGATTTTGGACTGCCAAGATCTGTAGTTAGTGACCGTGATGTGCGATTCACTAGTGAACTGTGGAAAGCCGCAGCTGCAGAACAGGGAACACAGCTGCAGATGACATCAGGGAACCATCCAGAGGCGAATGGGCAAGGAGAGCAGTTGAACCGCGCTGTACAACACCTGCTGAGGCACTACATCCAGCCTAATCAGGTAGACTGGGATAAGAAACTTGCTCTCATCGCCAGCCTGTACAACAACGCTGTGCACAGCGCAACGGGAGTGAGTCCGAACAGTCTGCTACTGACCTTTAAGCCCAGACTGCCCTTGGATTTCCTACTACCTGACAACCAGCCTTCTGCTGCACCAGGGACCCTAGAGTTCGCTTATCGATATGAGCATCTGATGCAGCAGGCTGTTGAACAAATGCACAAGGCACAGGCGGCAACGATAGAGTCTGAGAACAAGCACTGCCGCCCATCTACATTTCAGGTAGGGGAGAGAGTCTGGGTTAAGTCCTCATAACTGGGACAGGAGCACGGGATCTCCCGCAAGCTCATGCCACAGCACTTTGGACCATGGGAGGTCCTAGATGTTCTGGGGGATGAACCGGATGGACCATCGTATGTTATTCGCATCCCTGGTCACTTACGCACTTACCCTATTTTTCACGCCTCCAAACTTGCACCATTCAGAGAGACAGATCAGTTTCCCTCTCGTCGCTCAATGCTGCCCCCAACCATGGATGGAGAGGTCGACATCGACAACATCATTGACAGGCAGGGGACGTCCTCCGAAACCGAAGCTACAGTACCGCGTTCGGTTCAGACATCACACTGATCCCAAGGAGGATAGATGGTTCACCTGGGAGGAACTGATGCAGACCGCTCCTCAGGCAGTTGCTCAATATGAGAAGTCTTTGCAGAAGGGAAAGCGCCAGATTATTGAAGACTGAACTTCTCAGAGGACTATCGAAGTATGGAGGAGGGAATGCGAGGCCTAAGGCCCCTTTGGCCCTGTGTTGCAGTGTTGTCGGCCGCCCTAAGTGAAGGCAGGCTCTTCTCAGGCCAAGGGGGCCCCATTTTCAGGCCACCACGCAACTGGGGAAATTCAGACAGTTGCGCAGCATCAGTTGGTTACAAGCGCCCAGGCCCAGGCAGCCAATTTGCAAATGTATCTGAAGTACGTCCTGGGCCAGACACACAAACGGACCGAACACAGGCTGT